TTCTGCCCCCGTGAGCAGTGCCAGTGTAGCAGGGTGGGGAGTGGGGGCTTGCAAAGGGCCACATGGAGCCAGGGCCAGAGCCCAAGGCCCCTGGCACCTGCTGTGCCGCCTCGTTTTCAGGGTAGGATGACCGTGTCTGTTGCTGTGTCTTGCTGGGTCACCGGGTTCTTTTCATAGTTAGGCTGGATCCCCAGAAGAATTCATCCACCGACGGGTGAATGGATACACAGTGGAATGTTACGCAGACGTGAAGACGAAGGACGTCGTGGCACCTGCTGCAACATGCAGGGGCCGTGAGGATGTCAGGCTCAGTGAAAGAGGCCAGACATGGGACTGTGCTGTGACCGTGCTGCGACCGTGCTGCTGAGGTCTGTAGACGGGTCAAGTTCACCGAGTCAGCAGGTGGGCCGGAGAGGCCCCTGGGGGAGCGGGAGGACAGGTTGGACTTTGGTGGGGGCACTTTCTGTCTGGGGTGATGGAAACAGTCTGGAGGTAGACGGTGGCAATGGCTGCACGCCGTCGTGCACGGGCCGCGTGCCGCAGGGGCAGACGCTGAGACGCGGTTTAAACGGTCGAAACTTTCTGTGTGTGTATGTTTACCACAACAAAGGAAAGAATTAGGCTGGAGGAGGGTATGAGCCCGTGTGTAGGGTCACCCCAGCCTGGGTGGTCCCGGGCCTGCCTTCCACGGGGAGGTCGGTGGCCTGGTGGGCAGTGACGTCACCCTGGGCCTGAGAGCCTTGAGGGGAGAGCTGCTGGCCTGCGGCTGCTGGGCAGGAAGGGAGGCCGCACCGGGGCCCCCGCGCCCAGGGCACACCCGGGGTCCCCTCCTCTGAGGTGGGGGAAGCAAGGGCCTGCAGCTTGCCCTCGCGCCGCATTGCCCTGCCCGAGAGCCAGGCGGGAGCAGGGAGAGAAGGCAGGCAGTGCTGCGTGACCACAAGGACGTTACTTAACCTCTGTGATCTGAACCTGAGTTTTCCTCTTTCAGAAACGGGGCTCCTCTGGGGCTCCTGGCTGGCTCAGTCCGTAGAGCATGTGACTCGACCGAGGGGTTGTGAGTTCAAGCCCCAGTTGAGTGTAGAGGTTACTTAAAAACAGGATCTTTTTTAAAAACCAGCTCGGGGCTGCTGGGTGGTGTAGTTGGTTGGGCATCCAACTCTTGGCTTCCGCTCAGGCCATGATCTCGGGGTCGTGAGATCAGGCCCCGCGTTGGGCTCCACACCCAGCGTGGAGTCTGCTTGGGATTCTCTCTCTCCCTCTGCCCCTCCTGCTCATGCACTCACTCACTCTCTCTCTCAAATAATCTTTTTAAAAAATGGGGCTCCCTCTTGTTCTCTCAAGCTGATGAAGGTGCAGACAGAAGTATCTGGGAGGTGAATGCGAAACCTTTTTTTTACGTGAAGAACATCCCTTCCCTATTAATAGCATCTCAAGAAGTTGGGGTGTGAAACAAGACCTTCAGGTGCCAGGGCCATGGAAAGCGAATGAGGCCCCAGCCGCAGGGAGAGGTCACTGGGGGACGTGGCCTGGATGCAGGTCTGACCATCGTGGTGGAGGGGCTGCGGGCCAGCCTGGGGCAGCACAGCCCTCCTCCACCCACCCCACACCAAGGGGACACTCCCAAGACCCGCGTCACTCCATGAGTATTGATTGTGTCCCCTCCCTGTGCAGGTCTGGAGACCCGGGGCGGGGAGGGGGCAGTAATCACGTGGCACAGCGGTGCAGGGGAAGCTTCAGGGTCGAACAGATGGAGTGAAGGTCGCAGGTCATTGGCCTGACCTCTTTTGATGGCGTCTCAGGAAGAGAAAAAAAATGCTCTGAGGACCTCAGTTTCCCCATTTGTGAAAGGAGTAGGTTGACCTAGAACTGTGTGCTGTCCGGCATCTTTGTCACTTGCCATGCGTCGCTTTTTAAATATAAACTAATTAAAATCAGATCAAATAAATAAATCTAGTTCCTCGCTCGGCCGGGCTGCATTTCAAGGGCTCAGTGGCCCCCACGTGAAAACAGCTGGCAGTTGCTCAAAAAAAATCAAAGATGCTGATGCCGTGCGACCCGGCGATCCCACCTGTGGGGATGTCCCCAAAGGAGGCGAGAAGCAGGGTCCCTGGCTACTTGCACACCTGTATGCGGAGCCGTGTGCGAGAGCAGCTCCGGCGTCCGTGGAGGGATGAGCAGATGCGCAGGACGTGCTCTAGCCACGCCGGGCACTCGTGCTCAGCCTCGAGAACAAAGGGTGTCCTGACACCTGCTGCGACATGTGCAGACCTTGAGGACATTATGTCACATGCAGTAAGCCAGCCCCCAGTGGGTGAGCGCTGTTAAGATTCCCCTTTATCGAGGGGTCCCTGGAGCAGCCAGTTGCACAGACAGTAGGATGGCCCTCCCCCCCCCCCCCGGGGCGGGGGGAAGGAAGGGAGTTCAGGTGTCACGGGGAGAGAATCGCAGTTCCGCGAGGTGGAAAGCGTTCTGGAGATCGACTGTACGACAAGGTGAACGTATTTAATGCCACCGCACCAGACACTTAAAATGGTTGGTGGCAAATGTCAGGTTTTGTGTATCTCTTACCACGATTAAGGAGACAGTCACAGTGGCTACAGCGTCACTACAGTGACAGCTACAGTGGCTGTGCGGGGGCACAGAATGGGGGCCTCTCGGACGGTGGTGGAGGAGACGGCCCCTGTCTTTGCTCCGGGCCGGCCGGAGCAGGTCCCTGGTGCCCCTCCCTGGGAAGCAAGTGTTCAGAGAAAGTGTCCCTGGGCCCGTTTGTCTGATGGGGCCTCTGCTTTTTCCACACAGAGGCCCTGGAGGCAGACTCCACAGCCTGCCACCTCCCGGCCTGGCAGGACAAACTGGGGGGCCTGGCAGGACAAACTGGGGTGGCTGCCCCCGGAGAGGAGAGGCTGGCAGGATGGACCCTCACCTGCCCCGAGGGAAGGATGGGGCTTGTCGCTTTATTATTATTATTTCTCAGCAGGGCCCTGGGGGGCAGGATGTTTGCTTTGTGGTTTGAGTTTCTGCAGTGGATGTTGGCGCCTGCGGAGGGGGCCAGCTGGAGCAGAGGCCGGAGGGGAGGAGGGAGCTGGAGCGGAGGGGGTGCAGGGGGGAGGGAGGGGGAGAGAGGGGAGGGGGGCGCCCAGGCCCGGACAGAATGGCTCCCAGACCCACAGGCAGATGGAAGCAATTTGAGGTCACGTGGGGCCGGGCTGAACTGCTGGCCTGCGAGAGGAGGCCCCACGGCTGCCTCCAGGAAGCAGCCCCACAGCCACATGTTCAAGGCCAGATGCAGCGCTTGTCTTTGTTTATTTAAAGATGCTGGAGCTGGGGACAGTGTTTCTGAAGAGGGAGCAGAGGCAGATGCCTTCTGGGCGCTGCTGGGAGGAGGCCCGAGGCTGTCATCGCTGCCTCCTGGGTCCCTTGGCTTTCGCTGGCCTGGGCGGGGGGCAGCGGGGGTCCCCGGCGCTTTCACATGTGCTCTGTTATTTGCTCCATCCCCCATCCGGTGAAGTAGGAGTTACCCACGCTTTGTGGGGCTGAGAAAGTGGAGAAGTTGAGTGACTTTGTGCGGATAAGCCGCCCACGCTCCGATTTCTGGGACTGGTCAGCAGATGGTCCCTCCTTGTCGTGGGTGGGAAGGGTGTCTGCCCCCGCTGTCCGCCCCCTCTGACACCTAGAAGACAGAGGTGTGGCTGCCGAGGTGCCAGCCGGCCGGGCCCACTGGGGTTTGGTGGTTGCAGGAGCGTCCGGGCACTTCCCCAGGAAGTGGAGGCACAGTGTGTCTGAGGCCCCCGCGGTGGCTGTGGCTTTCTGGCGGGGCAGCTCCTGCCTGCTGCTTCCTCAGGGCGGGGCCGGGAGGACAAGACCCTGTCTCCCCCCGCCCAGCACACACCCGGGAGCAGGGGAATGGGGGTTCCGGGGCTGATGCCCAGGGAGCCAACCAGCCCCACCCTGCGGGGACCCGGGAGACATCAAGGTGCACCGTGTGCTTTCTTCCCGTGAGCTTGGGGTGCACCGGACAGGCCCGTGAGCACCCCCGGGAAGTGGGGTGGAGCTGACATTCCTCCTGAGTGGTCGAGGGGTGGGAAGGGCCTGGATGCACCAGGGCAAGGGAGGCCGCCAGGGGAACTGAGAGGCTGCCCGAGGAAAGGTGCGGCCAGGCGTGTGTGGTGTGTCTAGGGGCGCACCGGGACGGGGTGCTCCTGCCAGGCCCTGGGGGGGACCCGCACTGCGGTGAGCACCTCTCACGTCCCCACTGGGTGCCTCCTGGTCGTCCCTCCCTTAGGCCTCTGCCCTGGACATGCAGACTCCCGAGGGCGGCCAGGGGAGGAAGGTTCTGACCTGCAAGCTGCAGAAGCTTGAGTTGCTTCTAGAAGCAGCTCCGTCCCATCTGCCCGTCCACAGACCTGAAAGCAAAAGCTGTGGTTGTGGGGAACACAGGTGCTGGGCTGAGAGGAGAGCCCGCCGGGCCCAGTCCAGGGTGGGGGGCAGGGAGCTGCCCCGGGGCCCTCTCCGCCTGCCCTCCTCGCCCAGGGAACAGCTGGGCCCCCCTGGAGGAGCATTGCTCGGGGATTGAACACGCCTTGCCCAGGAGGGGCAGGATGGTGAGGACTCGGGTCCTTCTTTCCTTCCCAAGAAGGCTGTCCTCTGCTTTGTCCTGGTTCACAGGCTGGCCCCAGACACTCAGCTGTTTGGCCCCAAGGGTCTCGAGGCCCCCAGGCTGCAGCAGGTGCTGGGGCCTATTGCAGCCAGGTGCTGGAGGCGGAGAGGGCCCACCTGGGTGCCCTGGGGCAGGGTGGAGGCTGGGAAGAGGAGGGCTGGGGTCAGCGCTGTATTGGAGCTGAGGGAAGGGCACTGTGCAGGGCGGCCTTTAGGTCTGGGGTGTTCCACAGGGGTCTCTTGGACAGCGGAGCCTCAGTTTCCCTGTTTGAGAAGTGGGAGTGGTGTAGGTGCTTTGCAGATGCCTGTGTCTGACCCCCGACACCCCCACTGTCCCCCCACAGCCCCTGAGGCAGCTCCCGGCTGCATTGGCGACATGGCCGACACCCCCAGAGACGCTGGGCTGAAGCAGGTGCCTGCGCCCCGGAATGAGAAGGCCCCCGCGGACTTCGGCTATGTGGGGATCGACTCCATCCTGGAGCAGATGCGCAGGAAGGCCATGAAGCAGGGCTTCGAGTTCAACATCATGGTGGTCGGTGAGTCTGCGCCCCGCGCCGGGACCCTGCACCAGGGACTTTGGGGCTCAGTCTCCTCTCCTGAAAACCGGGGTGGCTGCATGCGGTCTGCGGGGCGGATCGCCCTGTGTGAACCCCGAGGTGGCAGGTCAGGGCGGGCCCCCGGAGCCAGGCAGCTGGGTCCCCCTATCCCCACGCTGGGCTCTGTGCCCTAGACTAGATCCATGACCCTCGTGAGCAGGAGGGGCCTTCCAGTCACAGCCTAGTCCAGCTTCCCCCCACCCCCGTGCCCTCCACCCTCTGTCCTCCAGTTGTGGGAGGGGACTCGGTGAGTGAGGTTGGGGCACATGGCAAGGCCAGGAGCACTTCTGGGGCCCAGGCACCTGGGAGGCACGCAGGAAGTGGTCTGATGCCCTGGGGGCTCCCTGGCCAGTCAGCCTCTCAGTGGCAGGGTCTGCGGTTAGGGGACCAGCCAGCAGGTGTCCCGTCCCTGGCAGTGAGGCCCCAGCTGCCCACCGTCCAGGGGCCCTGTCCTGCCCCAGAAGGAACCGACTAGGGGCTTTTCACCAAGCCTAGGGGTTGCCTGGCTGCAGGCTTTATGCTGAGTGTGCCTGCACTTCCCACCCAGATGACCCCCAGAAACTGGGAGCCCTGCCCTGGGGTCTTTGGACCCAAACCCAGCAGCGTGGGTGGCCCGGCTGTGGTTAGACCGTGGTAGGTTTGCAGAGCCTCCTGGTATGTCGAGCTCTGGAGAGGAGAGCTGCACGGGGCCCCGGCCCCCCCACATGGCCTCCCCCAGGCTGCTCTGCATCTCGGCTCCTCTGGGTCCTCTGGGTCCTGCCCTGCTACAGGGCACAAGAGCTGGGCCACTGCCTGGGCATCCCAGCCCTTCCTGCCTCCGGAGCTCCCCCTGCCCCGGGGCCCCCACGGGAGGGGTGCTGGGGGGCAGCGCCGAGGTGCTGCTGAATCGCAGGGCCCGCTGACCGGCTCCCATCCTCTCCGCAGGGCAGAGCGGCTTGGGGAAGTCCACCTTGATCAACACCCTCTTCAAATCCAAAATCAGCCGGAAGTCGGTACAGCCCACCTCGGAGGAGCGCATCCCCAAGACCATCGAGATCAAGTCCATCACGCACGGTGAGCACTGGGGTGGGGCTGGGGGTGCCGAGTCGGGTCCCCTGGGCTGGGTATGTCGGAACTCTGGGTCGGGGGTGCTCTCCAGGACCCCTGCAGGCCCTGGTCAGAAGGAGCCCCCCCCCCCCCCGCCCCAGATGACTGAATTTGCCACCAAAACCCATGGGCAGCAGCTGCCCAAGACGACCGTCACCAGCCCCTGCTGGGCTTTGCTGCTGGAGGCGGTCGTCTCCCTGGCGTCACCTGGGGAGGGGGGTCATCGCTGGTCACCCATGTGACCCCGGGGCCTCGGAGTGGGGCTGTAAGTGTCCGGAGTCTCCCCCTGAGCCCGGTGGGCGTTGTGATTCTGTGCAGATATTGAGGAGAAAGGCGTCCGCATGAAGCTGACCGTCATCGACACCCCGGGGTTCGGGGACCATATCAACAATGAGAACTGGTAAGAGCCCATCGGGCTGCTCCTGGCCTCAGAGGCCCCCAAATCCCGGACCAACGCAGTTACCCTGGGAATCTTGCCCTCGCCCTCCCCCTGGGGTCAAAGGTCAGCATGGGAGGCTGGTTTGGGAGCTCAGTGAAGGCTGCGGCCTCTGCTCAGAAAGCCCAACACCCCCGGCCCTTGTACCTGAAAGACCGGGTACTGGGCGGGGAATCGGGGGACTGGCAGCCTGCGGGAGGGGACGGGGCGGAGGCCGTCGCCTGGTGCGGGCTGACGGGGCCTCTCCGCGCAGCTGGCAGCCCATCATGAAGTTCATCAACGACCAGTACGAGAAGTACCTGCAGGAAGAGGTCAACATCAACCGGAAGAAGCGCATCCCGGACACGCGCGTGCACTGCTGCCTGTACTTCATCCCCGCCACCGGCCACTCGTGAGTCCTGCGCGGGGTCACCTCCCTGGGTCCCCGGTCCCACGTGGTTGGGGCGGCCCTGTGCAGCCTGGTTCAGGACCCCGGGCTGTGTCTGTGACTGCTGCTCTCGCCAGGGCGGGGGGAAGAGCGGGCACAGCTCTGCCCCAGGGTGGGAGGAGGGTGCCCGCCCCTTGGGGGCCCCGCGATGCTGCCCCACACCCGCTCAGGGCGCGTTTCCGGGTGGCGAGGGGCCGTTGAGGGCCAGGGCCTTAACTGACGTCAGACTGCGGCACGCTGGAGCCGGTGGGCCCGGGTCTGGGGGCGCCGTGGACAGCAGCCTGTCCCGGAGGCTTGGCCGAGTGCTTCCTCCTGCCTGTCCCTCCCAAGGGAAGCCCCGCAGCCTTCGGAGCAAGAGCAGCCCCAGCTGCCCTCTCGGAGAGGACACCCCAGCCAGGACGGTGCTCAGAGCGGGCCTGTCCCCAGCCTGCCCGGCCCGGCCCGGCTCGTGTCTAGGAAATGCCCTCTGCCTCTTTCCTGTCCCTTATCAGGGCTTGGCTGGCACTCGAGTCACGGCCTTGGCCGGGCTGGCACGTCCCCGCCCCGGGAGCCCACACGGGCACCCTGAGGGCCCTCTCTCAGCTCCAGCCGGTGCCTCTCGTTCTGTCCCCGTCCCCGCCGCCCCTACTCATCCACGCCGTTCCCTTCCAGCCTCAGGCCCCTGGACATCGAGTTCATGAAGCGCCTAAGCAAAGTAGTGAACATCGTTCCCGTCATCGCCAAGGCCGACACACTGACCCTGGAGGAGAGGGTCTACTTCAAGCAGCGGGTGGGGCTCCCCGCCTCCATACGGCCCTCGACGGGCGTGAGGCCGTCAGACACGGCATGCCGGGCTTTTCTTAGATGGAAGAGAAAGCGCAAAGGGGGTGGTCTCCACCGAGGGGACAGGGGACCGCATCTCCCTTGCCTACGTCAGGCTGCCGTCCACGCAGGCGGGCGCACCCGGGGCTGCTGCCTCCTTGCAGGCCACATGTCAGAGCCACTCGTGGCACCTGGGCCCCCTAGACCCTCCACCCGGTGGGCGTGAGCCAGGAGGCCCTTCTGTCTAATCCCCGAAGCTCTGCACGCCGCCCCCCGCCCCTCCGGCCTCGGCCCACGGCCTCAGGTGTGGGGCTTCTCCCGGCATGCTGAGGGGGGACTGCCCTGGCCGTGGCCGTGTCGGCTGGCGGAGGAGCCTGTGCACGGCGGTGGGTCTGTGCTTAGGGCAGAGACGACGGCTGTGCACGGGAGTGTCCCTGTGTCTGCGGGAGCTGGTGCCACAAAGGGTAGTGACAGTCCTGACACGGGCAGGTGCATGCTGGGCTGCAGAGGGCCCACGCAGCATCCGGGACCCACCAGGACAGAGGGCTTCCAGGTAGAGCTCGAGGGTGACTCCACAACCCCAAGCTGCCATCTTCAGGGTGCGATGCGGCTGGATAGGCAGGACGGGGAGCCGCGTAGGACTTGGGCCTGCAGCTGCCCCTCCTCCGCCCAGGAGGCTCCAGAACTGGAGTATCAGGGTCACCAGCCCTGCAGAGCCCGCCCTTCACCCCAAGCTGGGCCCCCTCACTTTCTGGAGGTCACAGTGGGGGCGGATCCGGGGCGGGGGCAGCGGTCCAGCTGGCTGTGTGGACGGTGCCCACACCTCCCCCCTCTGGATCCCCAGATCACCGCGGACCTGCTGTCCAACGGCATCGATGTGTACCCCCAGAAGGAGTTTGATGAGGACTCGGAGGACCGGCTGGTGAACGAGAAGTTCCGAGTGAGTGGGTGGGCCGGATGCGGTGCCCAGGGGCCCTCGATTCCTGCTAGAGGGCACAGTGGGGCAGCTCCTCCCAGGGGCCCAGGGGGCGCACCGGCCTTTGCACACAAGCCTGACCAGAGCCGCCTGTCCCTCCCCCAGGAGATGATCCCGTTCGCCGTGGTGGGCAGTGACCATGAGTACCAAGTGAATGGGAAGAGGATCCTTGGAAGGAAAACCAAATGGGGCACCATCGAAGGTAATCGCCAAGCCGCTGAGGCCCCCGGCGGATCGGAAAGCTAAAGCCGCTTCTGCTGACCTGAAGCCCATGCACCAGAGCCCCAGCTGGGTGCTCCTGGACCTCATGGGTCACGTGGCCCCTCTCGGCCACAGGGAGGGGGACAGGTGGCTTCCCCGGGGCCCACAGCCCTTAGCTGTTGGAGCTCTACCCCAGTCCCCCAGGGGGCAGGGAAATAGCCAGAGAGAAAGGAGCTAGGAGGGGTCCTGCCAAGTTCTGGTGCTGGTGTTTCATAGCCACGCGGTGTGACCCTGGACACCTTGCTTCACCTCCCTGGGCCTAGGACAGGGCTGGGCCCTGTGGCTCCGTCCAGCTCTGAGAACCAGACGCCCCGCCCCCTGCAGCAGTTCCCAGGACCCCCACATCTTAGTGCCCAGGGGGCTGCTCGAACAAGTTAGCGCAGACTGGGTGGCTTGAACTGAAAATGATTCTCCTAGTCCTGGAGGCCCGACGTCAAGGAGTCAGCAGGGTGGGTTCCTTGTGGAGGCCCGGGGGGGGGGGCATGTCCCACCAGGCCTGTCTCCTGGGGGCTGCCAGCCGTCCTCAGCGTCCCTTGGCTTCCCCGCCTGCACCCCCCACCCTGCCCCCCGTCTCCGCTCCACCTTCAGCTTTCTAACTGTGTCTGTCTTCTCAGAAGGACATTTGTCGTTGGCTTAGCGTCCCCCTGAGATCCAGGATGACCCCCTGTTATGGTCTTTACCTCAATCACATCCTCAAAAACACTTTCCAAATAAGTTCTGGGTCACGGGTAGTCAGGAGCTGGGTGTTGGCCGTGGTGTGGGGGGCACAGTTCACCCCCGTCAGGTGCTGGCGCCCTAGGTGGGCCCCACCCCGGGTGTTTCTTCACCACCCGCTCTGTTTCATCCTCCCTCTTTGGGACAGAGGAGGGAAGAAGGACGGATTGAAATGGGCTGCTTTGTTCTTTGACCCTGGGGCCGATCCCGGGCCAATCCCCGGCCGAGGGCCCAGTGTAGAGAAGGTCCAGAAGGCCCTCCCCCCGCCGCCACCCTCGCCCCTCTATGGAACTGGACAAGTCCCTTAATGCCCCAGGGCCTCCATGCTCACCATCCTTAAAATGGGTACCATGGGCCAAGATTTTAGTAAAATGCAGAACGCCCCAAGGACTTCTGGAGCTTTTAGGGCAAACAAACACGCTGAGAAAGTGAGGGCCATGAAAACTGCCGGTCAGGGGGCTCCGTCCATGCCCGCTTCACGGGCATTATCCTGCTGCCTGCCTGCCCCTCCTGCAGGAGGCCGCGCTGCGGAGCCCCAGGGCCCAGGCCTGCTCTGCTGAAGCCTGGGCGAGGCCTGGAGAGGCCCGCGGACCTGCCTCGGGTGCCCTCGGGTGCCCACGGGTGCCGATCGGGTGCAGGATGGTGTTTTACGAACCCACCTCTGCCTGGGTGTTTGCTGGCTCCGCCTACTGCAGATCTCCCCTCCTCCAAGGGTTGTGACCTCTGGGGGGTCTCTGGGGTGCTGCTCAGCTCACAACCAGCCTTTCCCTGGGCTTGTCCTGCCTTGGCTCCACCTCATCTTGAAACGTTCATGTTTAGGAACTGGTTCATGGACACGCGCTCTGGAGGGTGAAGTGTGGGATAGGAAGGGCCCGTGGGGGGCGCCTGGGGGGCCCAGTCCTGAAGCCTCTGCCTTCAGCTCAGGTCATGATTCCAGGGTCCTAGGATCGAGCCCCTCATTGGGCTTCCTGCTCAGAGGGAGCCTGCTTCTCCCTCTGCCGCTCCCTGTGCTCGTGCTTGCTCCCTGTCCTGCTTGATCTCTCTCTCCAATAAATAAATAAAATCTTAAAAAAAAAAAAAAAAAAAAAAAAAAAACGGCCAGAGGCCACAGAGGCTTGGGGGCAGCCCAAGGATGGACACGCATCTGCTGCCCCCTGGCGGCCTGCTCCGGCCTGCTGTGACCCGTGTGCGGTGGCACCTGTAAGGACAGTGGCGAGGTGGCGGGTCTCCCACTCCCGCAGCCTGTATGAGGACCCTGGAGGGCCCTGGAGGAGCTACGTCAGCGTAGCTCAGCTTCCCCAGAACAGGGCTGGCTCTTTATCTCCGGGACCGTGTGTGCTGATAGCGGACCTGAGGGATGCTCTGTGCTCGCCCCTGGCAGCAGGCGCTTTTGCCTCGTTCTTGCCCACACCACCCCGCCCCTCCCCGTCCCTCCCCGTCCCTCCCCGTCCCTGGTCCTGTTTCCTTGATCTTCCCTCCCACTTGGGGTGCACCGTCCTGAGATATTCCGCTCATCCTCGGAAACGGCCGGGTGTCTTCGGGAGCTGGGTGGGGTGTGATACCGCACACAGTCGGCTCATCCAATGCTCTCAAGGCCCTGAGATGTGGGTGACCTTTGAGCCCCTACTTTACAGAGGAGGAAACCGAGAGTCAGGGAGGCCAGGAAGACTCAAGCCGAGGCCAGGGGAAGCAGCCACACTCATGCTCACACTCCCAGCTTGGGGCTCTGCTCTTCCCGCCCATTCTCCCTGCTTGTAGCAACGCCATGTTCCGGGCGGTGGAAGGTTCTAGTACAGGCACAGCCCTGTGCGGGTGGGGGTGTCAGAGGCGCATGGAGGGCGGAAGCCAGGCAAGCAGCAACTGGAATAAGATCTAGAGCTCAAGGGCTCGGCAAGGCAGAGGCACTGGGGCTTTTTCTCCGCAGCCCTGCCTGGCAGCTTACGGGGCGGCAGGGGGACAGACTCGTTCCCTGCCCTGTGAGCCCCAGTTCCTGAGACCGCAGAGGAGGGGCCGTGGTGCTGGCTTGTGGGGTGTGAGGAGATTGGATTAAACGTGCAGGCGCCCCGCACCTGATGCCTCTCCGTGCGTGCTCTGTGCCCGCCTGCGGTGTAGACGGTTAGCGGCCTGCCGGTGCGCGACAATCACACACCCCGGTGGTGCGGCTTAGTGATGAGGCCAGCAATGAGACTGCCACCAGCTGCGCCCCCAGCCACCACGGGGGTGCCACTCAGATCCTCATGGGGGACCCGGGGGACCCCTCCCTGCCCCGTCTTCCCACGTCCCCAGAACTGTCCCCTGCAGCCAGAGCGCAATGTGAATGCTAACGCGTGTGGGAGAGCGCCCGCTGGGGCACAGGGTCTTTAGGACGCCACCTTCAACTCCTGACCCTGTCCCGGCTTCAGGGATCCCCTGGGACGTCCTGCTCTTCCCAGGAGCCTCCCTGGTTCCCAGTGAGGAGCTGTGGCCCCACCGCTCCAGCCAAGGTGTTATGTATTTACGGGGGGGGGGGGGAGCGCACAAGCAGGGGGAGCGGCAGAGACACAGGCAGAGGGAGAAGTAGGCTCCCCACTGAGCAGGGAGCCCAATGCGGGGCTCAATCCCAGGACCCCAGGATCGTGACCTGAGCTGAAGGCAGATGCTTCACCCACTGAGCCCCCCCAGGAGCCCCCAACCCCGGCCCTCCTGCCCGTAGCCCACTGCTGGGTGGAGGGTTCCTGTGTCCTGTCACCACTCAGCCAGAACCCTCCGGAGAACAGGAGCCCTGTCGGGCCTGCCACGGTCATATCCGCAGAGCCGGGTGCCCGTGAGGGACCCAGTGCTCCCCTGTGGGGTGGTGACTCCCATGCCCACCTGCCCAGACTCCTCTTGGCACCAGAACCTCTCAGGGAGGGGAGCGGCAGGGCTGGGGAGGGCCTTCGGGTGACATTAAAGCTCCTCTGTCTCTGCTCCTCAGTTGAGAACACCACCCACTGTGAGTTTGCCTACCTTCGGGACCTCCTTATCAGGTGAGTCAGGGCTGTGGGCTGTCGGCTTGGCCCCCTGAAGGCCCCGAGAGGCCCCTGAATGAGGAGTGTGGGCAGTGGGGGAGCAGGCCTGGACAGCAGCTGGCCCGACCTCCCCCAGGAGAACCTCCGAAGTCCGTTGGCCTAAAACACTGCCATGGAAATGAAGCAGGAAGTAGAAATTCTTCCTCTAGATGATGTCACCTGGGTGGGAAGGGGGCCAGGTTCTCACCTTGCAGCCTGGGTCCATTAGATTCAGGGCCCCAGGGGCCTTTGGTGCCAGGCATGGGGGCGGCATCCCCCACTCCCATCCCAGTGTCCTCTGACCGGACTGCTTTGACCTAGCTGAGGCTCCTTGGTGTCCCCTGGGTGGCCACCCCTAAGCCTGTAGAGCAGGAGTGGGGGTGGGTGGGGGCTCCTGCTGTGGCACCAGGGGCTCCCCGATTCTCAGCAGGTAGATGCATTCCAGGAATGAAGTCAAGGGGAGGGACAAGGCTATCTCTTGGGGCCTCTAAGTTGGGGGGATGGGCTGTGGCTTCGGGGGGTGACCCCACCATGTTGGAAAGCCTGGCAGCAGAAGACACCGCCCCATCCCCCCACCCCCACCCCCTGCCACTTTCCAGTCTGTCCTGAGGGCCTGGGCTGCAAGGGAGGGAAAACCCGAGCATAGGACCAGTGGGGTCGACCAGCACTCCAGCTCAGGCCCTGGCCCCAGGACCACTGGTCCTTGCCCACCCCCCACCGCCCCCGCCCGACCTGGCCAATGGCCTGGGGCTTCTAGGTGGCAGCAAGGGCATTCCAGTGTTGTCCCCTCTGAGTTCACACCCAGCCCCTGCCCTTAGACTTGACACGGGGGGACGGGGGCACAAGCAGTGGGATGTTTGTGTTCTTGTGCCTCGGAGACAGCACCCACAACCCCGCCAGGCCTGGGCCCTGGCCCACCTGCTGGCCCCTCCTGGGGGGGCCCCCTGAAAGCCAGGGGGGACTGGGGTCGGCCCCGTCTTGTGACCTCCCTGTGTCGTGTCCCCCCTCCAGGACACACATGCAAAACATTAAGGACATTACCAGCACCATCCACTTCGAGGCCTACCGGGTGAAGCGCCTGCACGAAGGCAGCAGCGCCGTGTCCAACGGCGTCGACGAGAAGGGGCCCGAAGCCCAGGAGATGTAACCCACCCGCCCTGCCCCCGGGACCCTGCCCCCCAGTCCTCTCCAGCACCACCCCCAGGCCTGCCCACGTGCCCCGTCTTATTTTATATCATTTCCTCCGTTCGTCATCGTCCTCCGCCCCCTGACACGCTGCCGAGTAACGACACGCCGTGTGCCCTCCTGAGTACGCGCGTTATTAGCCGCTGACTCCGGGGCCTGGACCGGCCTGGGCTTCGGAGAGGCCGCGCCCCTCTGGCTGTCCCCGAGGTCTGGGGGGGCAGGAGGGGCCCCCCATTCAGCGTCAGTCCCCATTCCGGGGCGCAGCTCCCTCCACAGCCTCTGATCGGGTCAGGGTGGTGCAGGGGGGGGAGACACGGAGCCCCCTCCCGCCCCCTCCCTGCGCGGCCCCAGGCCCTAAGGGCCCTAACTCAGACCCGGATCTCAGAGAGCCCCCGCCCTTGCCCCACCCATGGGGAGAAGAGTTGATTCCATGAGATGCAAGTTGCCGATTGCTTAGACCCAGCGAGGCCCACTGGCTGCCTGCTGCCCGCCCCTCACCCCCCCTCGAGCCCCCACGAGCCCGTCCTGGAGCAGAAAGTGCCTTTATCTCAGCCGTCCACGAGCCAGCGTCCTATCCCCCGCCGTCCCCTCCGCCGGAACTGGGGACAAGTCAGATAGAGAGAGGTGTGCCTCCATCTCTCCGTCACCCCCCTCCCCCCAGGATTTGATTGAGCCTTCAAGGGAAGGAAAAGGATGCACCCCACTCCAGCCCACCCCCATGATTCTGGGGAAGGTCCAAGCAAGTGAATCTGGTGGAGGAGATGAGGAGGAGGTGACTGTGCCGGAAGGAAGGAGGGGCCTGTGGGCCGAGCCTGGGCCTGTCAGAGTGGCCCTAGTGGCCCCGGTGTCTGCCCTGCACCGCCCCACGGAACTGGGAACTGGGAGAGAGCGTGTGTGTCCGTCTGTCTGTTTAGACACCTCTTTGGCCCAAGATGCTCTGGTTAAATTATGCCCGGGCGGCCACCCCAGGTACACATTCAGCCCTCCCGGGCCAGGCCTTGCTGACACCATGACCCCAGGAGCTTTTCATGGCCCTAAATGTGCCTGGGCTCCTGCACCCCAGAGCCCATCGTAAAGACCCCCCCACCCCCCAGAGAAGGAGAGGTCAGGAGTCAGGTGCACATGGCCCGTCGTCAGGCTGCAGACGGGGTTTTCCAAGTAGGGCTGTGCCGGTCGCTCCTGGTCCTGCTCCTTCACCCTCTGTCTCCCCCGGAGACCAGCAGGGACCCTCTCACAGCAGAGGGCAGGTGAGATGAGACCCAGGTGAGGTGCATGTCTGTCTGCACCCCCCAGGCCGGCTCACTGCAGCCCGTGAGAACAGCAGTGGAGGAAGGGGGTGCAGAGAGGCCTGTGCAGAGGTGTGTGTGTTTGCACGCCTACGATGTGTGTGCATCACGTGTCACTCCCCACCCAAGACAGGAAGGACCCCTCAGTGAAACCGTTGACTTGCCGACTTGCCGTGTTTTTGCCAAAACCAAGATTGCGAAGGACACCTCCACCTCCAGCAGCGGGGCGCAGGGCGAGCGGTGGCCTCCCCGGCCGGGTGGACTCGCTTTCCTTCTCTGTAGCCAGACCTTGAAAAAATTGTGACTTTCACTGGGATCTGTTCCGCAGTGGCCTTTTGCTATGTGCCTCCTGAGAAATTCGTCTTTTTGTATAAATAACAAAGTTGAAAATGTATTTCCTGAAATAAATGTCCGAAAGCAAACCTGGAAGGGGGGATGTGTTCCTCTTCCTGGCCCCGGAGGCGCGGCCTTCCTTCCAGAGGAAGCCGGCACCGGGGTGCTTGCTGGGTGTGGGGGGCTGTTTAATGGTGGCGGGGACGCCGGTTTCGGGGAATCCAGAAGCACTCGTTTCTCTGGAAAGCCAAGGGCAGAGCTTTCCTAATTTATTCACTGAAGGAGGCTTGGGAGGGTTTCCCACGGGGAGGCGCTGCCAGCTGCTTCTGTTCCTATATTGTTGGAAATAAAGTTTTTCTTCTTAAAATCCGCCCTATCAGATTGGACCCTATGAATTGGTCAGTATTTGACAGTATTTCCACACCGGCGAGTTTGTGCCTAGAGAACGGGGAGGAGACAGGTTCCGGAGGGTGCCGTGGGCAGGGGGCGCGAGCCCGGGCGTTCTGGACCCAAGCCCTTTGGCTTGAAACCACCGCGACCCCCAGGGCGCCTCTGCGTGTCCAGGGGATCTCTGGGGCTGCCTAAAACGACAAAAATTCACTCTCCCAGTGCTTTTTTTTTTCTTTTTTAAGATTTTATTTATTTAAGAGAGGCAGAGGGAGAAGCAGGTTCCCTGCAGGGAGCCCGGTGCAGGACTTGACCCCAGGACCCCGGGATCACGCCCTGAGCCAACCAGGTGCCCCATTCTGTGACTGTTCTGGAGGCCAAGAGCCCAAGATTAGGGTGTCGGCAGGCTGTGCCTGGCTCTGGCCTCCTCTGTGCTTTTGTCCTTGCAGACAGAAACCGATTTCTTGCCCGATTTCTTGCCTGGCACTCCCATTGGGTTTGGGGCCCACCTTAATCCAGGGTGGCTTCATCCCGTCCTTACCTTACACCTGCAAAGATGCTGTTTGCAAATAAGGCCACGTTCTGAGGTTCTGCAAGGACATGAATTCGGGGGAAGGTGGGTGCTGTTCCAGCCCAGGCATCCCCTTCTGCCTCCATCTCTGGGCCTCAGGGACAAGGTGGCGGCAGGGGTGGCTGAGGTGGAAAGCAGAAGTCCCCGCATTGGGACTCAGATGATGTGGGTTTAAGGTTTGCTCTGCTGCCGACAGGCTGGGGGGCGTCAGGATTACTGCAGCCCCTCGGCTCCCCCCGCCACCCCCTGCCCTCTCTGTGGGGCAGGTTGGCTCCTTTTGCAGGAGGTAAATGGGTTTCTTACCCGAATGAATCAATGGAGATGGACAGTGGCCACGTAGAGCCTCTGCTTCCAGGCTTCTGGGGTGTGTCACCCACAGGCTGACATCTGCCAGGAGCACAGGAGGACAGGGTCCACCTGGGAGGGGGGCAGTTCCTTGACCCCGAAGCCCTGTCCCTCCTCTAGACTAAAACTGTCCCCATTTTCACCCCTGCTGGACATCCCTGTCCGGCAGCTGCTCTCTCTGGGCTGGACCCTCTCCAGGCCTTGACCTCAGCTCAGGAATCTGGCCCCTTCCTCCTGAGGGCTCACTTCCTGTGCCTCGCTGGCTGCCTGGCCCCGTGCTGCTGGTCCCTCACTCGCCAGCCCCACAGGTACCAGGAGGCCGGCTCTCCGCCCAGCCCACCTGCCTTTCCCATCCCAGGGCAGCCCGAGACTCCCTGCAGTGACCGGGACTCTCCCCTATTGTTGATCCAGGTGACCAACTGTCCCAGTTTGCCTGCACATGTGGGGTTTCCAGGGATGTGCCACTTTTAGTGCTAAAACCAGGAAGGTCCTGGGTGAGCTAGACAAGTTGCTCACCCTCTGTAGACCCCATACCACCCCGACCCTTCTCCCACCGCCCACGGTCCTGGTCTTGGTCTCCTTTGGCCCACGGGGCTCCTTAAGGAGTTGCACGGTCTGGGCTGAGCTTGCCAGACATCCTGGGGGTGCTCGGGAGGCCCCAAGGACCAGCCATAGCGTCATTAGGACTCTGAGCACCTGTGTGGGGGTGGGATGTCCCGAGGGGGCTGTGGTGACCAGGTGTCCAGTGCTCACGCCTTCCCTGCTCTGGGCTGCGGGGTTTGAACAAGCCAGAAAAGCGATTCAATCAACAGGGGTCTTTTTTTTAGGGGGACGGGGTTTCCAGACCCTGCTTGTGTGTGCGCGTTGGCATCCGGCGAGGATCCATGGCAGGTGGCCTCCACCTGGGGGAGAAGCCAGATGGAAATCAGCTAAGGGGTCTCCTTTTGGATCTGTATTCATGGCCGTGCCTCCTCCCGTCTTTAAGCATTACTTTCTGACTAGGAAAGTAACGTGAACACAGTAGACAATGTGGAATGTGGAAATGCCAGAAAAACAAAACAAAACAAAAAAAAAAAAACACCAAAGGAAATACAAAGCCCACCGTCCTTTTCCCCAGCGCCAACTCTGGCTGGGGGGAGGGGAGGGGAGGGGAGGGGAGGGGAGGCATAATTACCATAATGCTTCCTGGGCATGCTTGTATCCTGCTTGATTGGGTGTTAGGGGTGCTGGGGAGAGGATGTAGGGGGGCAGGAGGGAGGGTGAGAGCCATGCAGACTCCTGGGCCGGACCCCCGTGTGCTCACTGCCAGGGAACTGCTGTACCTGCCCACAATGCTGACGGTTCGGAGGCATCCTGTGCCAGGTTCCACCCTGCGGGGTCCCCCGCCCCCACTGAGCCCAAGCAGGTGGCGCTGCTGACTCGGAGCTCAGGTGAGGCTGCCTCGGCCAGGCAGGAGCCCTCTGTCCCCGGCCTTCCCCTTCCCCTCCCCCGCCCCCAGCTCCCTGCTTCCCCATCGCTCCCCCTGAGGGAAGAGAGGGGAGACAGGCTTCCAAGTAGGTTGGGCCCAGCTCCGGTGTCCCGGATGGTGGAAATTGGGACTCACTGCGCAGACCAGATGCATTTCCTGCCTTGGCGCCTAGAACGCTTTCCAGATGTGTGCGCCGCCCAAGGCACAATCAGGAGGGGCCCGGGCGACCAGAACCAGCTGTGTCAGGGACGCGGGCCTGACGCCAGCACATGGGTCCATCACTGATGGAGAGAAATGTCGCCATGAGGAGCTGAGCCTGAGAGCCTGCCCCCCCCCCCCCCGGGGGGCTGCGGTCCCACTGCTGACCCCTGACCCCGGCTGGCTGCACACCCAGCCCTGCCCCCACCCCCAGGGTGGAAAAAAGAGAAAAGCCCAGAAACAACCACTGTAACAGTGAACGCGGGAACCACCGGCCCACGCACCAGGGGGAGAGGTGCTTTTATTTTTTATTTATTTATTTGTTTATTTGTTGTTTATTTATTTATTATTCATTCATTTATTTATTTATTTATTATCTGTTTATTTATTTATTTGGAGAGGTGCTTTTAAATGCTTCTGCAAACTTTGTTGTTTTTCTAAAACTGAGCTCAGAGGGAGCAGGTTCCTTTTGTAACCTGTGCTTTCACTTACCCGTGAGGATTTCCCCACTTCGGTATGTTTTGTTTTGTGTTTTTTTTGTTTGTTTGCTTTGAAAACAGGATTTTAATAGCGGTACATTAGAGCATCCTGTACATCTATCTTAATAAGTGAGAATAGCTACGTTTTTACAAGTGGGCCGCGCCCCGGGGGCTGGAGGTGCACAGGCCATCCCTGTCCTCAGATGAGAGAGGCGCCTGGTTGCCGGGAGCTGCTGGAAACCCTTGGGAAGCCCGGCTGGAAGGGTCTGTGTAGACCCAGACGCAGGAGGGGCCCCAGGACTGCTGTTCCCTCAGCCTCCCCCCTCTGCCCGGCTCACCGGGGCGCTCCTCGTCGCTGCGGGCAGGTGGGCAGAGCGTCTGGGGAAGTCCTGCGAGCCACCATCCGCTGCGGCCTGCGGAGCTCGGGGCCGCGGCACAGAACCCTGATCGACTCTGTTCCTGAAACGCTCACTTCTGAGCCCCTTCCCCACGCAGACTCCAGTGGGCAGCGGGCGGCTCTCGAGTGGGGCCCCAGGAGGACCCCAGCAGGTGCCCCCTCGGAGAGCACATATTGAAGTTCCAGGCCAGGAAGGTGGTGTGGTGGGGGACCCACCCATGATGGGCTCCCTTTGTGCAAAGGCCTGAGTCGGGGAGCGCAGAGCTGGAAGGGACCCCGAGGCTGGGAGGCTGGAAGCGGCAGGGGGCGTGGGAGGCGGGGGCAGGGGGCTGATTCCAGCCAAGCCAAGCCCCTCCCTGCACCCCTGCAAAGCTGGCCTGGCCACCCTCCTTCCTCCTGCCTGTGTGAGCCCCAGCCCTCCCGCCGCGCCCCTGCCCGGAGCTCCCAGAGGACAGCAGGGCAGCTCCCGGGACACCCTACGCCCCAAGTCCTCCACAGGAGCGCCAGGCAGGGTCCTGGGGCCGCCGCTCAGCCGCTGACCTGCAGGCAGACCGCGGTCCCCATAGAGGAGTGGGGCCCGGGGAGAGTGGGCCCAATGAGTGCCCTGGCCCGGCGGGGGCATCTTCCTTCCGTCAGGGAGGACGGCACGGTAATGAGGACGATGAGGGAGTGCGGGTAACCACAAGGACCTTGCGTGTCGCCTGATTCATAGACTAATTCCTCTGAGAGAGTCACTGCCAGGGAGCTGCTGCACCTTCCCTCAACACCCTCCTCCCCCTCCTCCCTCTCCTCCCTTCCCCCTCCTCTCACTCCCTCTCCCCTCCTTCCTCCCCCTCCCTTTTCCCCCTCCTCCTTCTCCCTCTCCCCTCCCTCTTCCCCCTCAACCCTCCTCCCTCTCACCCCTCCCCCTCCTGTCTGTCCCCTCCCCCTGCGCCTTCTCCTTCCTTCCCCTCCCTTTTCTCTTCTTCCCCTCCTCTCCCCTTATCCCCTCCTCCTTCCACCCACCCCCATCTCCCATCCCTCTCCCTCCTCCCTGTCCTCCCCCTCCTTCTATCCTTCTATTCCCTCCTCCTCCTCCCTCTCCTCCTCCCTCTCTTCCCCCTCCTCTCCTTTTCTCCTCCTCCCCCCTTATCCCCTCCACCCTCCCCCTCCCCCCCTTCTCCCCCCTCCTCCTTTTCCCTCTCCGCCCCCTCAGGTGCCAGGGACTCCAGCATCAGTTGATCACCTGGCACCTGGAGAACCGCCAGGGCCCCTCCACCTCCCTGATTAATGACTTCCTCAGAGCCTGTCCCATGAAGAAATCTAAGTCCCCCGAAGGAAACAGCCACATGGAGGGACTGCGCAGGGGAGGCGCCAAGGACCCGCCCAGGCAGGGCGCTCAGGAACCCCAGGGGCAGCCTCTCCAGCCCAGCCAGGGTGAGCAGCAAGCAGGAGGGGCTGTGACCGCTGCGGGGAGCAGGGGGGGGTGCGGAGGTAGGACCAGCAGTGCCTCCCGGTGGGTCATGAGCTGCGAGGGTGAGGGTGT